ATTCATCTTTACATCCCTAGCTAGCACGTTATATTAAGATGGTTCACATATTAAAGAGCTGAACATCAGCATGTTTCTAATATTAAAACAGTCATTTCAAATCTCCTTGTGTGTTGTTCTGAACTGTATGTGCGGTCCGTTGAATCGACATCGACTCTGCTGCCTCGTCTGTCGATCGGCCTCGTTATCAATCTGTGCTCTTATTGTTCTTGGACGCTGTTCGCCTAACTCGACTCTAATGAGCCCTCTGGACTCCTTTTATTAGTCACAGCAGACTTGTAGTTTTATCTGGTTTTATTAAGAATGTTTCACACGCCGACCCCGCCGCCGCCTCGCTCTTGTTGTTAGAACCTCTACAGCTCCCTCGCTGACCTGGATCAGAGAAAATACATGTGAAGAAACTTTCTGTACATGTGTCAGCCACCTCCATCACGACCTGCGGCCTCAGCTGAGTAAGCAACGCACTGAAATCCCATAATCGTTTCTGAATGTGCCCAAAAGGCCTGAACATGCAACTCTCGACCTCCAAACCTCCTGGTCCACGTCCAAAAGCACGTCTCGTGTTCCTCTTACGTATCCACACGCAGGTCAGAGGTCAAACCTGTAGCATGAAATGAATCCACGCTGCATGGTTCCACTTTATTAGAACTGACAGCTTCATGAAGTAGGAGAGCGCCCTGGTGCTGCGGACGAGTATTCATCCTGCTTAAACACATACCTCTGAACGCTGCGGTGGTAAAATATCCGGCCGCGACGGTAATGTGCTTTACGTGTTTCTTAGCGCTTTATTCCCGCGCTGGAGAAACATTAACTGTCAAGGATTCTGTGTTAAGATGGAAAATGTGAAGCGATAGTCCTCCTGAATTATTCATGGAGCGGTGAAGCCGTTGCTCGTCTGTGGTGGCGGATCATTTGAGGGAACCTGCAGCAGGAAGTCTGCTCTCCTGTGAGTCGTTCCTCAACGTGGAAATGGCGGGTTGTGGGGTCTGCGGTCCGACTTATCCCACCTGTGTTAGCCATGATGCAGACACTTTATATTACCATCAAACGGAGGAAGTAACTCCTCGTGACAGGTCTTTGAAAGCGTTTTCTCAACACTTAGCTTTCAAAGTATTTAAAATATTAGCAAACCAAATGATTTCCTGTGAAACTGCTGACGCCGTGTAAACCATCAAGAGTCGATGTGTTTCTTTTGTACATTTTTACACCATTTACCTGATTTTTAATATTTAAAGGAGCAGTCAGTAGAAATGTTTGTAAACATTCAAACATGGACCCTCCTCCTGGGCTCATCAACACTAGAAGCCCCGCCCCCTGCAGGACGTAGTGTGTCTGTTTACTGCTTGTAGCTACACTGCAAGCTAATGCACGCTAGCACAAGCTAACCGCTGGTGTTTGTCACCTGCCTGTCCAACAGGAAGCAGACCAACTCCACATCCACCTCGTTCACCCTCGTTTTAGAACGAGCTTTATCCACAAATTAGCCCCCTCTTAAAATCGCCAAGTATTACATACTTGATAGTATGTAGCCAATGAGATCGAGGAGACTTAGAAGCGTCACCAAGAGGAAGTTGTGTACTCTGATAATCCGTCTTCTCAGTCAGGATCTCATCCGTATTGTTTTTCTCTTTTTCTTTACCTCTCAACAGCTTGAGACTTTTAATTTCTTAGGAGTTAAAGAGGACATATTATCCCCCTTTTCCATCTTTTCAAACAGTCCCCTGTGGTCTAAATGAAACATCTGTGCTGTGCTTTGGTCAAAATATAACATGACTCAAGCACCAGAGGAGGTTTGTGACCCTGTATAAACCAGCTCTCTCAGAACGCTCCGTTTTGGTGTGTGTGTCTCTTTAAGTGCAATGAGCCTCCCCCCCTGAATTTTCCTGGTAGACATCATTCCTCTGTAGCGAGAATAAAAATGGCAGACCTGCTCAAAAGTTTTGCTCTAGGCTGGGGGTGGAGTCCATGGGTGGAGATACCAGGGGAGGGGAGGGGATTTTTTTTTACCAGAATCCCACTGTGACATCACAAGGAGAGCACATTTGAAACGGAGAATTTTTCTCTGTGTTGTAAGACTTATGCAGACCACAAACTAAGGACTGGATGGATTTATTTCACATTTTGTGGGTCAGGTTACCCAAATATATGTTCAAAAACACTGTAGAAGAGGATTTTTCAGAATATGTCCCCTTTACAGGAACATCATTTGTTCTTCATATCAACTGGATCAGCTGATAGTCTGTATAAACTGAAACATTCGTATGTAACAACGACATATTAAAGTGAACTGGACGTGTTAAGTGATGACACAGAGACGTGTTTTTATGTTTATAAGACTTTATTTTAAAAATCTATCATAGCCTTAAAAAATACTGCCATCTGGTTTACAATCAGAGACGATACAGAAAGTAAGACATGAAGGACCCACGTCAGGAGCCGCCTCCGGACATCGTTCACATTCTCCCGGGTTAAAAAACACACTGACCCCTTTCTTCTATTTGGTCCAAATCACACAAAGAGAAACTTTACACGATGGTGTAAGAGTTTGAATCTGACTCAGTTCAGTCAGGTTAAACGTTATCACATGACTCTGACAAAATCCCCTTTAGCTAACACTTAAACATGAGCGGTTAGCCAGGTGGTTTAGTACTTTTAATAAACTGTTTTTTTTATTCATGTGAAGTTAAAAGACGGAAGCCCTTAGTCGACAAACCCAGGTTTTCTGCGATGTGGAGTAATTTCAGTTTATCTATCGAGGTTTTTGACTCGTTTCCGTCGTTATCTCGAGATTACAAATGCTGGTTTTATCTTAATGACAAAATAATTTATTAAGAGCTGAAGAAAACGTCTGAATCGAAGTCGCCATCACAGGGAAAACCAGCGTCGTTACCCTTTAAAAAATTAGATAAATAAATCAAATTCTACTCGTTATTACAGGAAACAGAGATGTAAGGATGTTTGTCCACTTTGGGCTTCCGTAGTTAAAGACTCACTGGATGTTTTTTTGCTCTCATGAATTTAGTAAAATTATGACAATAGGCCAAGTTTACACGAGAGCGATCCAACGGAAACAGACAACAAAAGGACTAGTGGCCGCGGTGGAGTGAAAGTGACTGGCGAGCCCCTTGGCGAGCGGCTGGGATTGTCTCTGATTGAAAGCACATGTCGGCCGCTCTGAGGCTTTTTCTTCTGCTTTGGCTCAGAGCTCCTTCTGACACATCGTTCATCAGCCGCAGGAAAAGTGTCCAAAAACCGAATCAAGAGTTTAAAGCGACGACCTGAGGAACACGACCACAGCAGTGTTTGTTCTGCGTGCTGGGTTTTATTCACGCCACGTTTGTTACATCACAGAATGGTTGTTAGGAGACAAAACATTTTATCCACATTATACAAAATGTGTTTAACATACACAGCTCATTAAACCTTCGGAAAGAAATGTAAGACTGTTTTTTGCATGTTACGGACTAAAACTGCCAGTTTCCACATCGTCTGTGCACGCTGCGTTTTTTGCTCCGTCAGACGGCAAGCGCCCTGCTCCACTACGTCTGTCTGGGTCGATCTATTCTGTCCAGGGTGACGCGTGTCTACAGCGAGCTCTGTTGAAAAAAAGACTCAGTGTGTATTTAAAATGGAGCAGAGCATAGTGGTGCTACTGGCACGTTCCGGAGACGGACTGCGGCGCTCGCTGTGGGAACAGAAGCATTGACTAGAGTGGGAGTGAACGGTGCTGATGTACCGTGGCGTGCACGGACGATGTGGAAGCGGGCAGCAAAGCCTTCATTTAGTCGCCTCTGCAGTCGGCTGCATTAAAAAGCTTTTAGTAAGATTATACACGATATAAAAATAAAACAAACACATCTGAATATAAAGTGGCTCAAATATATAAAAAAAGATGCTTGTGAACTTTTCCCTTTGTAACATTTTATCGTTCTGCTGTTTTCACGTGGCGGTTTATTAGCTGTTCGCTCTTACCGAGGATGCTGTCGGGATGAAAACGCTGCAGAGTGATTTCAGATGCTCGTCTACATTCTTCTAACAGTGAATGAAAAGTTGATGTTCTCTGAGGTTCAACGTTTCAGGGTATACATTTTTTGTCTGTTTTTTTACTTTTTGAACCGCTGAGGCATGAGAATAGGGGTGTGTCCAGACTTTCCTGAAAGAGGGATGGAAAGATGCACAGACTCATGCGGGGGGGGGGGGAAGGGAGGGGGGCACGTTGGTGTCTGCTAATCCACTCTTTAATGAAGCTCCGTTTTCTATACGTCTTTGTACGTTAATTTTGTTTCTGTATCGGTGTAAGCAGGAGCTCCACATACACGCACACACACAGTGCTGATTTAGTTCCGCCCATCCCATCTCGCTCTGACCGCTAGTGTTTAAAATGGGTACTGCAGTCTAAATTCTAAACATTGTAGACAGCTGTTTCCCCCCCGCCCCCTCCTCTCTAGAGTCAATGCTCACACAGGTTGCCATGTGGTGGACACTGAAGCTTCATTGTTTAGCCAGCTCTGCATCTGTCTGTAAACCTTCCTGTGTTCTAACCTCTCTCCATTTTTCAAAAGCATCTCCAATATTGATCCTAGTTTGAGCACGTTTCTGCTCGTGGAGCTTATTAGAAACATGCAGAGGCTTTTTAGGTCGGGTACAATCACTTCTATCTCAACCAGTTCTCTTGCCCGCTTCCATCACTGCAACACCTGTTGGTTTGACCTGATAACTGCTCTCATATCTGGCAAACCGAGGGGCGTCCAAAACGGCAACAAGCAATTAGCTAATTATTTTTGAGGATTTTGGGGTTGCACCAGGAGCGAGCAATCGAATCTCCCCACCCCATCTTAAAACGCCCACTTGTCTGAGCATCACATCAGCTTTTAATACAGCGCTTTAAATATATTGTGATTTATAAAAACTTCAAAGTGTTTCAGTTCAGATGTCGAGCTCATAAAATGCCATCTTTAATCTTTAAAACAAATAAACAGTGAAATAAAGTTATGTTCACGTCTCTGACCCTCTGTTTAAATATACAGCACCGTGTGTGTGTGTGTGCGTGTGTGTGTGTGTGTGTGTGTGTGTGCGTGTGTGTGTGTGTGTGTGTGTGTGTGTGTGTGTGTGTGTTTGTTTGCAGCATCGCCTGACCTGATTGGTCCCTGCTTGTGACCCAGTTAGTGAGTTTGAAGTGTCGCCTCAGTGCTGGAGGAATGCTAAATAACCATGAGGATAATTTAATGTGAAATATCTCTGAAGTAGTTTTAAAGGATTAGGAACAACAGAAGAAGAAGAATTCACTCTTTAAAAAACGGATTAAGTGGAAATACTCGAATTGGTGTCATGTTAAATAATTTAAACGGGTCATTACTGCCTCGCTTCTTTAGTTTGCAAAAACCACATGAAGGAGATTTAAAGAATCTGGCACTAACGTCCTCAACAGCTCATATTTAAAGATAATTTGACAGACATTGAAGGCAGCGTCGACCACCAAGCTCAGAATTCTCTGTAACGCCCGGTGAAGTCTGAAAAGAACATCTACAGCCACACACGTTTCAATGATGTTAACATGTGTTCTGTCATCCGAAGGCTAACATGGAGACCTGGAGGTCCAGAGGGGTTGGTGGCGTTGGTGTTGGCGGTGCTGTGGACGGTGAAGTGCTGGTGCTGCAGGCGCTCCAGAGCGGTGAACAGGTACATACAGCGTGTTTACAAACATCCATAGCAGTGACTGGGAGGTATACAGACTCGACCCGGGGGTCTCCAGGTCCGACCACTAACACGTCTTTCCTCGCGTTCAGTTCTTCTTGTTGTTGCGTCGTCTGGATTTCTTCACCCTGAGGAGAGAAGCAGAGACATTTGTTACAGGTCGTCATAGCAACAGTTCACCAAAAGTGCACAAACACGTCTGGGGTTTCCACAACGCTCGTCGTTTATTACAAACTAAACATCGGCCTCACAAAGCCCGACTGTACGGTCGTACTGCTACTTTTTTTTTTATCATACATGAGCGACATGGCGTCCACACAAACCCTCACGTCACCGTTGAGTTCAGAGGCAAAAGAAAAACAGGAGCTCGATTACTGTGGCCAAAGCGTTGACATTTCTCTGTACATGTGTAGGTAGTGGGTTTTTTTTTTAGAAAAAAGTCTCATCCTGCAGGGGTTGCCTCCCATCGATGAGCCTCCAGCGCCCCCTGCAGGAACAGACGGTGGCATCACTCAGGCTTTGTCCATTATTATTTACCGTGTATGGCCGCTGGATCAGAGCAGCGGACCAGAGTAGCATGACTAAGCAGTTTTTTAGGTTTGTCTCAGTGGAGTTTAGGAAACATTTGCCTGAAAGTACGAGTTCAAATTTGACAGCAATCACAATGCTAATTTTGTTAGCCTGTTAATGGTACTTGTGTTATGTGTTAACATAGAGCTAACGAACCAAGATGTACTTCCTGGGCTATCACTGAGAAATGATGCACCAGCAGCCACGGCTTCAGACGAGGGTATAAGCCAATCATAGATTAGGATTTTGATGGCGGCACCACGAGCGGCCAATCAGATTTCAAAGGGCCAACCTTCTGGATCAAAGAAATCCTCCCACAGCCCTTTGACTTCTTTGTAGTTTATAAAAAAAAATGTCTACTGTAAGAGACCATGCAGGGAAATAAAATACAAGTATCAAAAATAATTCCTTTAAATCGTAAATGAGATGCATGGAATCGTTGGATACAAACATGCAGCAGCACACTGTTGACGAGCGCCGTTCTTATTGGAGCAGGCGTGGACATGTGACATGTGAGGGGCCTCAGGTGTGGGCGAACGGCTCTGATAGGTGAACATGTAGCACATGTGTGTAGTTTATGTTAAACTGTAGCGGAACATGAGAGACGGTGATGCTGACAGAGAGCAGCTGTGCTGGAAAAACGTTCAAATGAGAAAAACCCAAGTTGTGATTTTCTTTTAATGTGAAGACAGGAAGCACACACACACACATAAAACACACATATAACACACACATATATAACACACACACACACACACACACACACACACACACATAATACACACATATAACACACATATATAACACACACACACACACACACACACACACACACACACACACATAATACACACACACACACACACACACATAATACACACATATAACACACACGCACATATAACAAACATGCACACACACACACACGTATAACACACACACATATAACACACACACACACACATGCTTCTTTACAGTCCGTGCTGCTTGTGATTCTGTTGATATCTAGCAGGTGGAGTCTGTTACTCTCACACGATGAATTCATGATTCCTCTCTTTAGCCGCTGTAAAATAAATCACACTCTCAGTGGCGGTTCTAGACCACTTTTAGTGAGGGGGCCAAACTGGGGCCAGTTGTTTTGTCAGAGGGGAACATTAAACCCAGGTGAAAAATAGACAAAGATGATTGCTTTAAAACATTTATATATAAAATGCCAAATAATAGCACACATAATTGAATACCACAACATAAATACCATGAGTTATATTTGTTAGCAGTATTTAATACTAGATTGTGATTCCGGTTGTTGGTCATATACTGTATGTGGGGGGCGCTTCCTTTTGGAGGGATGGCCACAGGGGGGAACAAGCTCAGTGTACCAGGGGTACTGGCCCCTGTTGGCCCCTGCCTAGAACCGCCCATGCACTCTCATCTTTGTTTCCACGCTGAATCTGTTGAAACTTTCAATCCCTCCTAATTTGTCCTTCACATTCATCTCAGAAAATTAACCAGGCGTCATAGCGCTGCCAACTCATCTCTCACACTTTATGCTATACTGCAAATTTCCACATACTCTGCACACCGCTCACTATAGCGCCGTTCACTACAGCGCCGTTCACTCCCATTCTGCCCCTGTTTGCACATCGCACGCCGCAGCCTGTCACCAATGTGCCAGCAGCGCCAACTATCAGCAGTAAGGGCCTGGTCACACAGAGACGCGTCACCATAGCTCCGGCCACTCCAAACCCGCCTGGGAGCTTCTGGAGGAAGAAGAGCTGGGAGTCCGGCTGCGTGTGCGACCAATTCAAATAATTTGGAATAAATACATCCGAGCAAACGTTTCTTTGCTACGAGGCGAGGAGGGGAACATGTCATAAAAAGCAGACTTGATTTGATTGGCTGCCAAAAGTTACACTGACAAACGCTGAGACTCAAACTTTCATGCACATCCAAAAACGGCTAAAGATGTGTCGTGCAGAAGCAGAAAAGAGCGCCCGGCAGGTGAACTGACCCACAGGATGATAATGGTTCTTCCAGCGACGCGTCTCTGCGTGCTGGGACGCTGACGCTGCTGCACGCCAGGTGAGTCTAAAGTCATGCAGCACAATAAACAACGGCTCCTAAATCCTCAGACAATCATTGGACTGTTTGTTTTCTCATCGTGCTCTAAGTGTTTACGGCGTTTCAAGAAGCAGCCCACCACGATAATCACCAGCAGGCGTGTTGGGAACATTTCTGTTTCTTTATGAGGAATGCAGCGCTCATTAAAAACACAACGCTGATCCCTGACCTCGACTACTCCGCCATGCACGTGCAAAATGTTTCTTAGAGTAAAGCTAGAAATCAAATAAACACACACACATCCCACTGCGAGGGGAGAGATGGTGGAAAGTGTTGAGCAGCTGAAGGTTTCCAGTTTATGAGAACGAAGGAAGCAGCGAGAGATTTATCCCTCCTCTAATTATTTCACAGATGATAACTCAGCTCCTTACATCCACCACGTCGGAGAGCTGAGAGAGGACGTGTCTGCTTCTCTGTGACCTCTGAACTCAGCCCAGAGAAGAGCTGTGATTGGTTGGTGTGTTTGTCAGCAGTGAGAGGCTGCATTGCTCTTACTTGTTGATGGCGTTCTTTAAGTACTGCTGCAGCCACTTGGTCTCCGGGTTGATGCAGACTTCTCGGTTGTTCTTCAGTTTGGCGCTGTGGAGGAAAAAAGAGAGAGAGGTTAGAAGACAGAATCATTCGAGCTACTTTCTCACATGCAGAAGACATGAAGGTACTCGTCTTTAACGCAGTAATTTAAAAGTGTTCTCACGACCTCTGACCTGCAGGAGGCAGCAGAAACAAAGAGGGGCGACACATATTCGTCAAAGACGATGTCAAAGGACGTTTTGGACAGTCTTTTGGCCTCTGGGTTTCTTTAGTGATCTGAGCGTTCCTCCTCTTAATGCCTCAAAGATTTTTGATCTTTTAAAGATTCTTAAAGAAACTAAACTTCAGGTACGTTCTCAGGCAAGTTCTGGAGGCCTTCATCGCCCTGCAGGGAGTGATAAACCTTCCTTATGGCATGTTTAGGTTTAACAGGCCAGACCAGTGGTTTGTGTGTTTAGGTTTAATCACTGCCCCCCCCCCCCCATTATCCAGATTAAACGCTGCTGAGGGCTGTGAGCGCTCCTTTAACGTTTAAAGCATTCAGTCGCAGAGAGCGTTTAAAGTTCCCACAGAAAGAATCTCTGACTTTGTAAACATGTCTCCATTTTTCTCTGAAGACGCGCAGCGCACCGTGCTGATGACCGTCGAGGACTCAAACGTTAGCTGCTGGTTTAATTCACCTTATGTTTTACAGTGTAATGTTAAAGTTATGTTTTATAGTGTAAAGTTAAAGTTATGTTTTACAGTGTAGAGTTAAAGAAGTAGCTGCAGGGATCGGTGACGAGCAGCTCCGTGTGTTTCTGTGAGCGTTATCTGGCCTGTTGATGGAGAGCTGATCCAAATATTTAGGAGAGGATTTGTTCTGTTATCAGACACTGCTGCTGCTCACATCTGCTGAAGGAGGCTGGGGGTGGGAGAGAGTCTGACGGGGGTTTCTCCGCCCTCCCAACATGTGGAGCTCACACCTCGGTGGCAAAAGGTCGCCTATGAGACTTAACAACCTCAGAGGTGTCTCGCCATGCTGCTCCTCTTTCTCACAAATTAAATGCTATCCTCTCTCTCCTCTCTCTCCTCTCCTCTCCTCTCCTCTCCTCCTCTCCTCTCCCCTCTCCTCCTCTCCTCTCCCCTCTCCTCTCCTCTCCTCTCCTCTCCTCTCCTCTCCTCTTCTCCCCTCTCCTCTCCTCTCCTCTTACCCTTTTAATACTCCTCCTCCCCTTTTCCTCACTCCTGTTACATGCACACACATGCACACGAGCAAATGGCCCCCGCACGCAGAAGAGGCGTTTAGGAGCATCAATCCTTAAATCCTTCAAACTAACATGTGAGTCAGGAGGCTAACAGCTCGGTAACTGGATCTGTATTTGCTTTTCCTCCCGGGATGTCCCCCTTCTTCCTTCCCTTATTTGATCGGGGGTGGCCGGCTCATGGGCTCGGGCGCTGTGTGTTGTTTTCATGTGTCTCACTTCATCCTGTTTATCTGTCTGCTTGTCTGGATGACCCACCGAGAGCCTCAAATCCTAATTGACTTGGCTGGAATTTGGAGGGCCGGAGTTCCTCGAGCAGCAGGTAGTAATTACTTCACAGCGAGTTAATACCAACAGCCTGTTAATAGTGGGGGTGGAGGGGGGGCGGTGGAGGGGGGTAGGGGGTGTGAGGTTTCTGGCTCCCTTTCATCCGCCTGATAGAGATATCGGAGCAGCTCGCCTGAATGACTTCTTGACTCCTCTGGCAGATTTCTGGAAGGAGGTTAGAGGGAGTTGGTGTCCGTGTGTCCTCTCTGACCTTTTGCCATTCACTCACCCCGTCTTCCAACACCCCCCCCACCCCCCAACCCCTCCTTTATTTGTCTGAAGCCGTCATTGAGCCTCTTGGCTGCGAGGATCCTGTTTTCTATTGCAAACTAATGAATGAGGCTTCTTAGTTAATATGTTCCAGACCGGCGACATTATGTGCCGTGTTGGCGGGAAGTAAAAAAACAAAGAAGGAAGAGTGGTTAAAGGAAATACAAAGGTAATCACTTTGACCCTTAATCACTGCTTCCCTTCAACAGAAACATGCCCTCGGGCTCCGGCTGTCGCGATGTCCCTCTCTCTGAGCGACGGCGTTGGGCCGCAGGTTTCCAGAGGGAGATTTGAAAGTTGCTAACGGAGGGCTAAGTTGTCGTGTGTTACTTTGACCCTGACTATGATGTACCAGGTGATCCGAGGCGAGCTGCAGGTAAACTCGTTTTGCAACACTCTTGTTCAAATTCACTTCAGAACACCGACGCCAGGAAGAAGTCGTCTAAATACCAACATATAAACGTCAGTCTATGACACAATCGACTTTAGTGAGGGACGTGAATACGAGACGCGTCTGTGATTACCTTCACACAGAACTCGTGCACAGCAAAGACGGGACAGACTTTAAAACTGTTAATGAACACCAGGAGGAATATCTACATGTTGAAATATTCTCCTTTTCCAACATTTAAACATGGAGGTAGAGACTTAAAGTGAGATGTGCTTTTATTTTGAAGTTTGAGGTATCATCAACAGGAAACACCGGGTTAGCAAAAGAGACTTAAAGTGAGATGAGCTTTTATTTTGAAGTTTGACGCAGCATCAACAAGAAACACCGGGTTAGTAAGCGAGACTTAAAGTGAGATGTGCTTTTATTTTGAAGTTTGAGGTATCATCAACAGGAAATGCTTGTGTTCAGGTGAGTGAGTGCGATATGTGGGACACTCACATGACTTGGAAGGGGCAGTTGGGCGTGTGGAGGAACTTGAGCTCTCTGATGGAGCGCTGAGGGACCGTGTTGAGGGTGGAGCGACACCAGCAGCGTTCCACCAGGCTGATGGGCTTCGCTGCAAACACACAGAGACGACATTTGATTCATTAGCATCACCGTCAGTGAAGAAGACAGCTGTAGATAACCGGGGTGCAGATGCTGCTCCAACAGACACGATCAGCTGACGATCAGCTGACAATCATCAACGCTGTGAAAAGAAAAGTGTTCAATCTGCTGCTCGTTCAAAAACTGAAACACAGAACATTTATCACATTCAATCACAGCTGAAGACTTTGTAACTCGGAAACTGGGACTGTCAGAGGAGTACCTGAACGCAGCATCACACACACACACACACACACACACACACACACACACACACACACACACACACACACACACACACACTAAATGTTGTGAAAAATCCTCTTCTACAGTGTTTTTGAACATATATTTGGGTAACCTGAGTGTCTACTGACCCACAAAATGTGAAATAAATCCATCCAGTCCTTTGTTTGTGGTCTGCATAAGTCTTACAACACAGAGAAAAATGCTCTGTTTCAAATGCGCTCTCCTTTTGATGTCACAGTGGGATTCTGGTAAAACAAATCCCCTCCCCTCCCCTGGTATCTCCACCCATGGACTACACCCCCAGCCAAGAAAGAAACTTTTGAGCTGGTCGGCCATTTTTATTCTTGCTACAGATGAGTGATGTCTACGGGGAAAACTCAGGGGGGGCTCATTGCATTTAAAGAGACACACACACCAAAACGGAGCGTTCTGAGAGAGCTGGTTTATACAGGGTCACAAACCTCCTCTGGTGCTTGATTCATGTTTTATTTTGACCAAAGCACAGCACAGATGTTTCATTAAGACCACAGGGGACTGTTTGAAAAGATGGAAAAGGGGGATAATATGTCCTCTTTAACTCCTAAGAAATTAAAAGTCTCAAGCTGTTGAGAGGTAAAGAAAAAGAGAAAAACAATACGGATGAGATCCTGACTGAGAAGACGGATTATCAGAGTACACAACTTCCTCTTGGTGACGTTTCTAAGTCTCCTCGATCTCATTGGCTACATACTATCAAGTATGTAATACTTGGCGATTGTAAGAGGGGGCTAATTTGTGGATAAAGCTTGTTCTACCAGTGGTTCTCAAACGTTTTAGACTGCGTACCACCTCCGAAAATATTTGGCTCTCCAAGTACCACCATTATGGTAGACGTTAAAATACACAGTAGGCCTATTTTCTACACACATTTTACGCAAGTACATATAAAATACATTCATAAAAAGAATATTATTTATTATTGACTGTTGGCAGCCACACTATAGTACTACTAAGGGCTAGCGCTAGAACTGGCACTTAAACTAACACAACTCTGACATTTGCCCAAATCAAAAAAAGTGCAGCACAATAAAAATGAAAAACTTTATACCAACAACCTGTTTGAGAATATTTAGTCTCCAGTGTTTCCCACACAAAGATGATACCTGGGCCCAAGTATATTTCCGACCTGTCCTTATTTAATTTTTCATCTATTCATTAAATTGCTGCGTGCGCGAGAGAAAGAGAGAGAGAGAGAGAGAAAGAGACAGCGCGTGAGAGAGTGCAGGCTCCGTGCAACCAGAGCCTCTGTATTATAAGGCTCTGCGTTCAACATAGCAAAACTCCCTTTAAAAAAAATCCTTCTCGACTCCTGCGCATAGTTAAGACAGCAAAAGAGATCTGTTAATGTAGGCCTACAGCTGCTTGCTGTTGTTTCAGGACTGAACTGTAACGGAATATCGAGTGGAACTTTTCAAAACGCGTACTCCATGGTGTTCATGTCTGTGCGCGCGAGCATAAATTGAGAAGATTAAAGTTGTTTATTGCAAAAATTAGATTAATTTAGAGGGGAAAACACATTTGATATTCATACAACCCAATAGATACAAGACCGATAAGATAAGAGTACGGCAAAAAAAAAGTTGGCGTTTTATGCTGAATGTTTTTAAGGAGATTTCTTTGCCATGTACCATAGTTACGGAGCCCGCGTACAATAGTTTGAGAACCACTGATTTAGACCACAGGGGACTGTTTGAAAAGCTGGAGAAGGGGGAGAGTATATCTTTTATAAAAGTTATGATATGTAAAAAAACATCAGAGTGCATAAAATGTGCCTTTAACCATTCAAAGCATTTGATCATGATACACCGGGAGGTCTTCACTTCACTTCCCTCAGTGAGCGGAATAAAAACACGTTATACCGACTGTAACGAGTTTTCACAAAGTCTGAGAACGTTCGAGTTTACCTGCTTTCACTACGAACAACATGTTCATTAAAAAGAGATTATCTCTCTCTCTCCCTCACACACACACCCACACACCCACACACACACACACACACACACACACACACACACACACACACACACACACACACACACACACTCAGCCGCCCTAAAGGAGAAGGGTCCTCTACATTCACGTTCCAATGTTTGCCTCTTTTATCGGAGTGCTCTCTGCATCTCCGAGGAAATCACCTCGAGGACATTCTTCAAATGATTACAAATCGCCGCCGTCACCCAGGGCCCACAGCACCCAGAGGGGCTCCAGTACCTCCCAGTACACACCAGTACACACACACGCAGACACACACACAGACACACACACACAGACACACACACACATGCAGACACACATACACACACACACGCACACACACACGCAGACACACATACACAGATACACACGCAGACACAGACACACGCAGACACACATACACACACACACACACACACACGCACACACACACACACACACACATGCAGACAAACATACACAGACACACATACACACACGCAGACACACACACACAGACACACACCGGCACACACACAGACACACACACACACACACACACACACACACACACACACACACACACACACACACACACACTTGTCACTCAGGCTGCAGAAACTTAAATCTAAAGAAGAGTTTTGTCTCATTATTGAGATTCAGACACAGAAACAGTCAAATAAAAAACGCGTCCTGCTCGGCAGGTAAGAAGTTAAAAATGTTAAGACGACAATAACTTTCAGCTGCAGCGGTTTAACACTTGATGACATCACAACATGCTCCTCTCATAGCGCTGTCAACGGCTTGTTGACCGTCAGACGGCGAGCAGGCGGATCTTTAGAGACATTTGGAGGATCGCTCTTTTCCTCTGGAGCGGCATCTTCCTGTTGATCAACTCGACTGAACCAACCAGAGATCACCAGCTTTGTTTCCTCTGCTCCACATTCTCCTTTTGATATTCATGCTGATAACGCCGCCGCACCAAAAGGCTCGGCCTTCAGTAATATCCGCCTAATGACTCACAGCCATCCAACACCTTTTTGTCATGCAAATGACGGGATCATTATGCAGCACGCCACGCCGGGGCCAAAGTGAGCATGCAGCGCTATCAGCAGCGCTTTGTTGATCCCTCATTAGAAAGTCATTAAAGGAAAGCACAGAGAGGACAAATACACACTCTTTAATATGCAAGCAGGGGTCTCCCAGGGGGTCTCCCAGGGGCCGAAACAACACGCTCAGCATAAGGCAGGCCAGGCGCCTCTGCACGCCGCCGTGTCTCCCTCAAAGGTGAGCGTGTGGGGTCAGCGTGAGAACCTCGCGTTCTCCTGTGGCTCACATCGTGGCGTCTAAAATTCAGCCTGAAATATGTTGTTACACTTTTTATAAAACGCTTTCCCTGCACGGGTCCAGATCAACTTCTTCCTTCAAGATATCAAAATATAAATCAGTCAAAATGTCTGCTGGAGAACGGCGCTTTAATGAGATGTATGAGCTCGTTATAAACCGTAAAACTTCTAAAGTAAGCTCATCATATTTTAAGTCCTGCCCACTTTCATGGGCCGTCTCGCTGCACGTTTAGATAAATAAAATAAATGTTATTAATATTTAAATTTAAAGAAGTGAAGACGAGCCTCTCGAACACAAACTTCATTTTATTTTTTCTGTTTCTGAGTTTCTGTCTTGTCATCGGTGCGCTCGAGTTTGGTTTGAAAATATTTATAAAGTCCCGTCTCATGTTGGCGCCCAACCTAAATGAACGCCGGGTCACTTTACAGACTGAGCCTGCTGCTGTTAACTGAAGCAGACATTTCACTCACGTCTTTACATCTTTACTCAAACCTGCAGAATAAAGAAGACAACTCTTTATATTCCTCATCTGTGTGGAAGCGAAACACAATGTGCAATAATAACCCCAGAAGAAACAGGAAGTGTGCAGTTAAATAACGGGAAAAAATCTGTGTGCAATCAAGGCCAGTCATAAATGGGGGGGGGGAGTCAGCAAAGAAGACGTGGTCGGTCCTGATTTTAAGCAGCAATGAGCTCATTTCATTTGACACCAAAATCATCAGAGTTCCCTCTTAAAGCAACAGAAACACTTTTGATGATTGAAGTAACCCCCCCCCCCCTTCTTAAAATGATGAGAGGCTTTTATTTAGATATCTCACCGACGTGAGCGGGTCGTAAAGCCGCTCCAGGACCGTCTCAGAGTCAGGATGCAGGAAAAGAAAGAACAAGAAGAAAAGCAGGTTCGGACATTTCACCTCAACAAGAACTTCTGCACAAGCCCGGAGGCTAACGCTAACACCACTGATCCAATGTGCATTTAATTCCTGAGAGGAGGTCCACTGAGCCGGCTGATCAAGGCCCAGATATGAGCCGCGTGCGGATCAGGGTTGAAATAAAAGATGTTTTAAACTAGCAGGACAAAATAACACACAGAGTCCGTCATCAATTTTAAATCTCTTCTTAATTCAAAATAAATTAAACTCCTGATTTGAGTCTCTAAATGTCTGCGTGTTCTCTGTCCTTGTCGAGCTCTTTGTCTCCTGGTTTTAAAAAGTGTTCTTTAAATAAAATCATGAGGACACAAAGAGCTTAAGGAGGACAGAGAACACGCAGAGATGAAGACAGGACTAACATTTAGAGAAGTCTTTTAAAGAAGTTTTAAGAAGTAAACTCCTGCTCTAATTAATAATAATAATTATTATTTTCTTTATTGGCATGAACAGATCAAAAGCAGTGAAGAAAACAACAAGATAAAAATAAACAACGATGTTCACATGAATAATTATAATAATTCAAAAGAGTCAATACAGAAGTCTGAAGAAACTCAAATAAAGACAAGAGTCTGCAGTTCATCTGCCACCTCAAATAAGCAAATAAATAAACAAATATATAAACAAATAAACAAAATAATAAATAAAAAACCCTCTGGCTGTATTTTCACTTCCAGGAGCCGACGTTCCAGAACAAACCAGATCTTCTCTTTCACTAGCCTGCTGAATCATTTCATACTGTCTTTCATTCATTTAAATTATTTTTGTTTCCGACCTCGTTCCCTGAAACTCTCTCCTCTTCTGATTGGTTTGAACATTTCGTTGTTTGTCTTACAGAAGGTCAGAACTCAGAGAACAACGACAGAATTCAAACATTTCAGACAACATCTGAAGACTTTTTAGAATCACTTCTCCTCCGAGTCTCATCATGTTAAAACCATTCAGCAGATTTATGAGTTTATGAATCTCTGAGGAGCTTCCTGTTTGAATGGAGCTCTTTAAATATACACGCAGAGTCCTGCCAGCTTCTCAAAGTGGACCGAGAGTCTGTCACAAAAGTTCTGAACTCATCTCATCGAAATTTAAACGAGCAGAGAATAAAACCAGAATTTAAAAAAAGCTAAAAGTCTGCAAAATATGAACAAAGGTTTTAAAACAGAAGAAATCTAAAAGTCTCAACATCCAGACTTTGT